AGAATGAATTTTTGAGCAGTGTATCGATGGGAAATGTGTGGTTAAAAAATAAGAAAATATTTTGGATTTGCGTGTAATATTATTTTATTAAAGAATGTGTGGTTGAAATAATGTCAAAATACTGTTAAAAAATGAATTTTTCCAAAAGAATGGGACTCAAACAAGGGACGTATCTTTAAACTTTTATAAGCATAATAATTCAACAACATGAAAATAAACAATTTAAACGGGATAAAAGCAACAACACCTTGTTACCCTACTTTATTAAATCAATCAAATTTTGAAATCTTTTTCTCAAATCACTCGTATGTATAGGCTGAAAATAATGATTAATGGGTGCGAATTCTACTTTGAAATACGTGTGGCCAGAATTTAGTTCTCTGCAATGTATATAAAATGCTTTTGTGGTGAAAATTCCTAACTTCCATGTGTTATATATATATTTGGTCATATGACAAATCCTATAGAAAGTAGGTCACCTAAAGTACACGTAAAACAATATGAAATTCGAATGGGATTCCAACAAGTCCTTATCATAACCAAATTAAAAGAAGCTTTTCCTTTATCTAGATACCAACGTGGCTACCAAACAATCAAATACTAGTTAATAACAAATCCTTTAAACTTTAGTAACTTAAGCTTCGTTTATTCGAATTAACTTTTTCTCAAGCCTAATATACATGATTAATTACGAGCTATCCAAGAAGCCCCATATTGATGAATTTATCTTCACCCTACCGAAATCTAAATATTTGGCCCAAATAAAACTGTATTTATACATATATCACTTGAGTCCCCCAACTTTCCAAAATTTAAAATATAGCATAATTAATTCCATTCTATGAAAATTTTTGGGACTTTACATCTTCTGTCCAGAAGTCTAGGTTGCGGTGGTCTTATGGACTTTACATACCAAGTTAAATGTGCTTTTGGTTGTTCTCTGTGCATAACTTCTTGATATTTTTGTTTCTTTTGGGCTTTGAGGAATTTATATTTCCTTAAATACATATATTAATTTTTTACTTTTGGCGTCAACATGAAAGGGGATGTCATGAAGTAGAGTGATGGAACATGGAATTTGAACGACAGTTTTTTTTGTGTGTGCATGGTGGGGTAGGAAAAACTACATATTAGTACAAAAATAAATTAGGGATTATTTAACTTTGTCATGTGTAGCCATCAGTTTTACTTGACAGAGGAAGTAATAGTCATTTCCAGTAATTCAACCTATTATTAAAGAATATGTCTTCAGAAGGCATTAGGAAACTAATTGTACTGTAGCTTGGACTGCACTTACTGTTTTTTGGACTTAAATGATAATACATGCAATTATATTTTCATATACTAGTTCTCGATTTAGTATGGTTGGATATTTGGTGGCACTGCTTACTGCAGCATATTTGAAACTCAAACCTTCGCGAGATGATGTATTCATTTAATGCTCCAGGATCATCAGGATATTATCAGGAAGCTTATTGACCTCATCAGAATTACATCTATCATGGAGGTTAGCTGTTCAATATTTTTCTTCTCGATGATATCACCCATATGAAATCTTTGTGTTTTTCCTTTTGAGCAGGTTTTAATTCGTCTAATTGGTGCTGATGAGCACATATATACTAACGACTTGGACTCTATTCCGTGGTTGGAAGATATGAATGTTCTGGAGATGATTGTGGATAAGTTCAGTTCATCAGTAAGTTGCTTAGGGACTGTTTGGTCTTGCGTAATAATGAATAACTGTGTTTCTCCTCCTCTTTAGTGCCTTTGGCTTTTACGTGTGATTGTTTTAGAGCCTGCCTTGGTTCATTTTGGAACACATGGAATTCAAGTCTGTTTACAACAATTGGAGGTTTATCTAATATCTATAGTAACAAAAGATCCTTGCATCAGACTCTGTGCTCCCTTTGTGCATATTGAATTTGCATGTTTCTTAAGTTGCTTGCTAGTGTACTGAACTAGCTCAAACACTAGTTTGCAGATTCCTTGATCATGATGTCACGTTAGGAAGTCAGTTCCAGAGATTTTTCATTTGAAGATAAAATTTAAGTACTTTTTAAGGCTCAAAGTACCTGAACCACACATTATAAGATAATGAATTTCCTGCCATCAAAGGTTGACTTTATCTGAACATACACACTCTTTTATTTCTTTTCACTGTTGATTTATCTTAAAGAAATAGGTGTAACTAAAATTTGCAGGATTGCCCTGGAGTGCATGCTAATGCTGCTGAAACACTTTGTGCAATAGCTCTATATGCTCCCCCCGGGTTAGCTTCAAAAATCTCCAGTCCAAGGTAAGATTATCCATTTTCTCCTCTTTCTTCTTATTTTCCCTTCTCTTACCCTCCTCATACCTTGAACTGGCTTGTGTAACAGTTTTATAGGAAGATTATTCCATCATGCTTTGGAGGAGTCACGACCAAAATCCGTTTTGGTTAACTTGCTCTCTGTCTGCATATCCTTGTTAGACCCCAAGAAGCTAATGTCAGGAACATATTATTTGTACCACCACCAAATGACTAATGGATCCGGAATCAGTGTAAAACCTGAGACAGTTGAAGGCATGTTGGTGAGCCTAGGTATTGTTGCTCAGGATGATGTGTTACGATTCCTAAATTATAGAACATATAAGAAATTGTATATGAAATATCCTGCTACTTAGACAAAACTGATTTCAGCCTGAAATTTGTGAAAAATGCTTCTTCATGCACTCCTCACCAAGTAATTAGGCAAATCTCTTTGGTTATCTGTTGGTGAACCTCATCACTCGCAATTTCTGGCATCATATGGGAGGAAAATGGACTGAAGATGGTTTTTTGACTAAATGATATGTGAGATGTATTCTGACAACAGTATAAAAGTGGAAAAAGAAAGGAGGACATTACACTTATTTCATCGATACATTCCCCTTGTTAAGCTTTCTCAAAAGCTGATCAGACTATAGAAGTCCCAGTTCTTCAAGAATGAAGCTAGCTTGTTTCTTTCATTATCTATTTTTAATTTGTTGTAATAGAAAGAACCAACATAAACTTGAAGCTCTTGGTCTAGCAGTCTTGTTTTCTAAATTTTTACATCTTTATTTATGAGGCTAAATTAGATGTATTATTTGGATGTATTTTCATTGCTTAATGAGGTGGTGATAGTGATGCATAAAGAAATCTTTCTCCTGCCTTTCTTTTGAAGGCAATATACTCAAGCTTTTGGATTTTTCATCTGAAGATATGGTCTTGCTAACTACATATGGAAAGTTGCAGCCTCCTCTTGGAAAGCATCGTTTGAAGGTTTTTTTATTTTTATTTTTATTTTTAAGGAACTATAATTTCTTTTTTGATGTGAATGTAATTTGATAGTGACTGCATATACAATTACGTTTCCCCCCTGAAAATTAGAAGTTTCCTTGTAATTCAGTTTATGTATGCCAGTTACAATTTGTTCTTACTTCATTGCTGAAGTGTTCTTAAACAAAATGAGAAGACATCAATTCTCTAATCATCTTTGTGTGTTTTAAGAGAATTTTTTCCACACTCCATCCATGCCTTTTTTTTTTTTTTTTGGGTTTGTGGATGAATTGATCTAAAGCATGGAACTCTCAGATCTAAATGTGAATGGTGGGTCTTTCAGATTATAGAGTTCATCTCAGTCTTGTTGACTGTTAGTAGTGAAGCTGCAGAAAAGGAATTGATTCGCCTTGGCGCTTTAAAAGGCATTGTAAAATTATTTTTTGAGTAAGTTTCTTTCTTCACTCCAGATTGTAATTTCTGTGGAAAAGAAAATTTCTGAATACTCTAATTTCACCTTGTGTTGATTTTAGGTATCCATACAATAACTTCTTACACCACCATGTCGAGAACATTATAGTATCTTGCTTAGAAAGCAAGAACCCACATTTTGTTGAACATCTTCTTAAAGAATGTAATCTTCTTGGGAAGATTATTGAAGCAGAGAAGAATTTCACATTGGATGTTGATAAAAATAAGGTAATAGTCAACTCTCTTGAATATCTTGAGTTGTATTTTTGAATTTTTTCCGCACCTATCTTTTTGTATACTTTCATGATTATCATTTGTTTGTTCTCATTCAACTTATATTGCAGTATTCTAAACATTGGCCAATAGTTGAGAATTAAATGAATAATTTCGTTGAAATGTGTCTTGCAGCCAACTGTTCTTGCTGAGGGTAGGAGACCACCCAGGATAGGGAATATTGGACACACGACACGCTTGGGTAACAAGCTTATCCAATTAGGGAATAACAACAGCGATGTTCAGACATTTTTGCAGGTTTTCCGTATCTTCATTTTTCTGTCAATGATAACATCTATCAGTTTGTGTAGGAAGTTAATTAGTATGAAGCGTCCTCACCACCTCATCATCCCGTAAGGACAAGAATGTTTATTATAAATAACCATTTATGGAATCTTTGACTAAGTTCCATTTTTACCAGCACTGACTGATAGTTGTGTTTTAGCTTCTTTTCTGTTTTAGGTCAATACAAGCTTTTAGTTTTAATTCTGAAATTTTTGTGGCTCTAATTAGTGCTCAATATTTATTTTTTAAGATATCTTAAGCTGATATGGAGCTTGTTTGAGCCCCATTTTGGAACCCAAAATGCATTTTGAAATAGTATTTTGATGGAGAATGTATGGTTAAAAAATAAAGAAAATTTTTGGGTTTGCCTATAATATTATTTTATTGAAGAATGTATGGTTGAAAATAAGGGAGAGAAAAATGTATTTTGGAAATAATGGGGACCAAACAAGGGCATGATCGTATTTGATGTTTGAGTGAACTCATAAATCATGAGATAACTTCAACGACAATATTGCAATGTAGCAAGATTATATTCTTGAACTATTTGTGCCAGATTCTGTCTGATACTTTTTTGAGGCTTCTCTTGCAATTCCTCTTGCCAGCAAAATAGTGAATGGGCTGATTGGTATTCAAATGTACTGCTGAAGCGCAATGCAGTGGAAAATGTTTTCCAGTGGGCATGTGGGTGAGTGTTGAGTTTCAGCTATGACTTTTTTCCTTAGCGTCTTCAGCCAATTTGCCATTTTTATATCCTGAATGATGTGATATAGTGGTTGGTTTCCTTGTACATAGATGTGCTCACAGTTATATGTACTTGTATTGTACTTTCCATTCTGTCTTGTTTGCTTTTATAGTCTATGTTCCCTGTAGAGCTAGGGGCATTTGCCCTATGCTAAGATAGAACTTTCAATCGTCAATCAAGCTTTGTACAGCTGGTCTTAGAATACAAGGCCATATATCTCCTGTTGTTTCGTCTGGGAAGAGCAAGTAGGAGTCTTGGATGGTGTGTGTCTATGAGAAACACTCGTAAGAAAACTGAAACGGTAGAGAAGGAAATCTAAGCCAGTTGTTTGGATAAATTGCAATTAAGACACATTTGAATATTTGGGACCGAAAAGGTTCTTTAAGATTTTTTATCCATCATCATCTGCTCTTATGCTAACAACTAGCTTTTAAATTCTTAGAAACGATGAATTTTGACAAAAGGAGGAGGAGGCCTATTACACAAATAATTGTATTCTGCTGAGGAAAGGTCTATCGAATTGTAATGGGTGAATAATACTTATTATAGTGGTGCCTTTTATATTTCATTCTAATTTTTCTTGATGGCAGTGCTAATAGTTGTAATTGCATAATCAATTTACATGTAATGTCATCCCTGTATGGACATTTGTTGGCAGAAATTACCTAGATCCAGAATTTTTTGTGTATACCTTAACTTTTCTTCTTAGTTTTTGTTTATATTATAGACGTGTTTCTTTATATCCACCGTTGTAGGAGGCCTACAACACTACATGATCGGACAAGAGACAGTGATGATGATGATTACCAATATCGGGATTATGATGTTGCTACTTTAGCAAATAACTTGAGCCAGGTCTTTCGTTATGGAGTCTCTAACAATGATGATATTGATGAGGTACTCTATTTGACATTATAAAATATTCCGTCTTTTTGTTATTTTCCATTTTATACATGTGTGCATTTGTTATGGCACACGTAAGAAATCAAAAGTTCAGAGCATTAATGAAGGAAAATGGGACTTCCCCTTTAAAAGTTTGAGACGATGATAATATCTAACCGTAGTGGACTTCCTAACATCCAATTGCTTGTTCTTTAAGACATTTAGCACCTTTTGCTCTTTCTACTCACTGGTATATAGGAACTTGTATCCATTGGATTTGGTACCTTTTAAGTTGTTCTTAGTCAATTGCCATGAGCTACGCTCACTTGATGGGGGTGAATACGATAATATAGCCACATTTACTCTCAGGTATTAGGTATGAATTATTGTTATAGATTCCCTTGATTCGAATTTGAACGTCTTGAATTGACTTTGCTCAATTATTTTGGTATGAGTTGAAAATGTCGTATTCTGTGCATTTATTAGTTGTGGTTATTGCGTTAGTACAATGTATACTTAAACACCAGTCTCTGTTTGCTGGTTTCAGGTTCATGGTTCACTTGAACGAGATTATGAGGTATACAGCTCTTGGTTTTGTGCCTTGGTTCATTATTTATTGTCTTCTCCTTGGGGTCATTTTAGATATCGTACTCAATTCCTTCTCTTTTAAAATATGAATTATGCTTTCCATTAGATGCTATTAGGGTGTGTTTGATTGCAAGCATGAAATTTACACGGAAAGAAAATAAATTCTAGGCAATTGAATTGCCTAGAAATTATTTACATAGAAATTGTCAATTAAATGTATTTGATTGATTTTATTTTCAACCTAGAGAATGTTATATTTGTCCATTTTTTATTGGTGGGTAGATGGGAGAGAGGGGGAGTAGATGAGAGAGAGAGAGGAAATGAATTACTTGGAAAATAAAAACATGGGGAGTAGATGAGAGAGAGAGTAAATGAATTACTTGGAAAATAAAAACGTACTCCCCCTAACAAAAATATTTTCCTTATTTTCGAGAAAAATATGGTCAAGTGATCAAAAGTAGGAAAATATTTTTTATGGAAAAAAATATCAATCAAATAGCACAAGAGTAAAAATTTTGGTGATGGAAAGTATTCGCAATCTAACGCACTCTTGTTGAATTGTCTTTCTACTCTTAAAAACCACACAGTCATGTTATGCATCTTTGTCATATGTGCATGCAGCAAATGAATCGTGTTCATCATTCGAATTGATCACATTTCTCGAAGTCCCTTTTGTTTGTTGCACTAATCTGTTTGAGACTTCTGGATAGCAGATTCTTCTTTTCTTTGTAATAGGGGTACCCTGGTGCCATAACCATACATCTTTTTGGGTGGGTCGGGAGAAATAACATGGAGAAGATATAGATAGAATGTTGAAGTGGACAATGAGAGAAAATTAATTACAACATGTGAGCCAATGACACATGGATCCCTTACTGTTAACTTTAGGGGGAAAAAAAATAATGAGTTGATGGCAATTAGCCAATTACTTCATATTGTTGTTAGTCCTTTGTTCTATACTCTTGTTTGGGTGAAACAATGATATAGTCCTAATATGACTCTTTGTAGGACGTGTACTTTGATGATGAATCTGCTGAAGAAGTCATTTCTTCCCTTCGATTCGGAGATGAGCAGGATAGGTAGGTGGATATACTTGTTTGCTTTGATTTTCTTCTATATTTTTCTCAGAATGAAAAATGAAATTTGCATGAATTTGCATTGGGCTCTCTTAGCTGTATAGAACTTATTTCCTTGATTGTGTTTTTAATCCATTCCATGTTCGTTGCTTCTACTGGTGCCTTTTGAAGTCGGCTAAGTTTGTTGGTCGAATTTGCGACATATTGAAAAGCTATAATTTTTTGTGTTCATAACATATTCCAAGAGAGATTTTAGTATTTTTTTGCTTAGCTGAAAAGACTGTATTTTGTAGCTTTAGTTATCCTAATTAAGTTGTGACTCTTCAAGAGCAACTATCCTAATTAAGTTGTGACTCTTCAAGAGCAACTATCTTAAATCAGTCGTTCTAATTTTTCTTTGATTTGTACACTGTCAATGAAAAGACAAACTATACAGATTCCCTCTGGATTTGGGCTCATCTTGAGTGCTTCCCTGTCATCACTTTGCCTTTT